GCCTCAAAAACACCCAAAATAAAAAACCAACACAAAAAACCATGTTAGGTTGCTGCATTTTTCCCCTTTCTAATTCAAAGTCAGCCCTCACAGTAGTCAAGTCTTTCACATGAGGGCCAGGGCAAGAGAATCAAGCACTCCCCTCAATCTTCAGTGTCAGGTCAGCCACTACAGTTAAGCCAACCCCACATCAAAGCCTAAGCTCAAAACCTAAACACTGTTCACAGCATTTATTTGCTTATAGTTTTCTGGCCCAGCAACACCTATTTAATTTATCAATTACACTATGATGAATAGTAAATTTCAAATAAATTAGATTCCATCTTTTGATGTCCTACATGTTTGCCTTAAAAAAAAGTTTCTTGTAAACCATTGACAAATTGTAATCCCAGAAAAACCTGAAACTGGAAAAAGGCTGATGCTTTGTCTAGAACAGTGAATGTACTAGATTGAATAAAGGACTGTTGATAAACCACATCAGCTCAAGTGTGCTATAAAAAATGGCAACACTTCTCTCAGAACACACTCAGCAAACATCTCAAAATTGAAACAAATTGTATTTAAACTTCCAGAAGGAGCTTCAATTTAATTAAGTGACAGCATTCCCTATATGAACAAAGGAGTTGAGATAGAAGGGTCACCTGAGCTGGTGACACTATTAAACTGCCCTGATTGACATATTTAAGATATATACCATGATGAAATGAAAACATCTGAAAACCATTACATTCCTGAACAACAAACTGTGGAATAACTACCATGTTTTTATGGCCAGAGTTATATAGTTTATTCCAAAAAACTGTACAAGCATTTTGATAGTCTGACTCCACCTGAAAAATGGGATAGTATTTCATCCATGAGGAAGTGATAGTCTATGTCTCAAGTGCTATGTGAATGTATGATGTTCAATAAAAGGCAGCATAGAGATAAAGAAAGATATTTCCATGTAAAGGAGTAATAACAATGCTCTACATTTTTGCAAGTCTCATATCAATGATAGTGGGTTTTATTCCGTGTTTGAAAATGCAGGTACTAAAACTTATTAGAATCACAGAATAGAACGATAAAAATGTAGGGCTGGAAAAGGGCCAACTTTACATACTTAAACAGTATCATTAAGGAGATATAAGAGTCAAATATACCATCCTTTATATGACATCATACCCCAAGCTACAGCAATTACTTTCGTCAAAATGTTGCCTAAAGCCACGAGTTAGCATTTTATATGAACTGCTAATCTGTAGGGCAATACTGAAGTATGAATATTAGCAGCAAGGACTCTTGTTGGTCAGTTTTAAGACCTGGGAGTTAAAGGATGGGGAAGACTGTGTTTGTACATTGGTCCCTACCAGGTATTTAATTTACTACTAAAATGAAAAACAGATGCCCCCCGTTGCTTCAGTTCAATGACCAAAAATAACTTGGAATTTTAGAAACCAGATTTTATTCATTCCATCCTTTTATGATTATGTAATATAGTCCCTGGCTGAACTGTTTACACCATTGTCTTCTGAAATATAAAAAACACAATTTTACATCCCACAATAATTAAAGGCATTTACAAAAGGTAAAAGTCCTCTTTAATGCAAACAAGCACTGCAAAATCATTACAACCAACTGTTTCTAGAATATATTAGCATGCAAGCTCATTATAGGAAAAAAGCATTTAATATGTGTAATTAGTCAAAGCTTCTATTCTCCAAGTTGATGCCCTAAGTAAGACACTTCAAGCCTTCAGGAATAACTACACAAAAATTACAAGATGTCCACCTGCAAGAGAGAATTCTATTACACTTTGTATGCCTAAATAGCAGTTTTCCATCCATGCAAGTGAGCTTTTTGGCACTAGCATATAGCTTGTGATTTCATTACCCATGTGGTATGGATGTGTAAGTGTATGTATGTGTATGGAACTGTACACCAACCCAGCAGCTACACGGCTATGTACGTTGTATACACCATGTCCAGCGTACTTACCTAAATCACAAAATTGTAGCCTGACAAAAAAACCCTGCCTAGCAGATGTTAGATGCCTGAAGAGGAGGACCCCCTCATGTTTTAACCCTATTGGCAGTGAATAGAGGGAGATATGTGGAGCCAAGAGAAAGAGAACAAGTTAGAGTGTATGGCTCAGTAAGATGAACATTACTCTGGAAGTCAGCAGGCCTTAGGTTCTAGCATGGACTTTTGCTCCCACTAAAACTTGTCACTTCTCTCAATCCATTTTTTCCAGTGACTGTTAAATGCAAGGTGCAGTGGCTCAGATACAAAAAAGGAGATGGGACTAGATAATGCCTAACCTGTGGTTAGCACACTGTGCTGGGAAATCAGAGATGCAGTTTCAAACACCACTCTGGGCAAGAAGGCCAAGAACTGGAGTCTCCTGCTGCCCTAACCACTCAGATATTGCCATTAAAACATGAGAAGACTCTTGCCTCTCCTGAGCTTTTTCTGGGACTTGCACAATGTAGATAGCTGCATGCCTCTGCGTGTGCAGTGGCGGCCTACTGCACATGCTAAGCATGCACATGTACTGTACACTTATACATCTAAGCATGGGTAATAGAACTGCCAACTGTGTTAAGTGTCAACGATACCACATCATCATTATTAAAGTGCTGTACAGGAATGAAAAACTAAGAAAAGAGGAAAACATTTTGTTGAATATAGCATACAGCAACATAGTTTAGTAAATCTTAGGTGAAGCTTTAAATTTAAATAAAAAGCAGAGAAAAGTATGATTTTTTAGGTTTGGTCATCTCCCATAAAAAGTTACACATATTTTACACACTGCACTAATCCAGCTGTTACAGTACCTAAACGTATTCTTTGATTTTTCCCTTTGCTCTTTTAACAAATTTGATCTCTTACAGTTCCAGCTTTGAGTTTCTGCAGCATATATCCTACTTGCCCCTTCAAAATCTCCTCAATAAATAAATAAATACTAGCAAATTGCCCGTCATGAATGACAGGGGTGGGGGGCAGCAGGGATGGAGCACTGCCACCCAGTACCCCACAGTGCTGCTGCTCCACCTTTGGCTCCATGCACCCCCCCCCACCCGCACCCCGTGCATCCGGTCCCATGTGGCCCGCTCCCGCAATCTCCAGCCCCATGGGCCCTCCACTCCCCGCTGCTCCTGGTGTGTCCCCATGCAACCCCCCACCCCTGCCACTCCACCCCATGCTGCCGCCAGCTCCCAGAAACACCGGGGGGGAGCTTGCACACGGTGGCAGCCGCCAACACCCAGCAGCATACAACATGCCCTCCCCCTCTCTGCCAACTGTTGTGGGGGCCAGAAAGCAGTGACAGCAGCAGGGTGGGGCATGGTGGCAGCAGTGAGGGAAGGGGACACTGCCATAAAGAAACCCCCCTTTCCCCTTCCTGCTCCCCTCCCTCTCTCCCCACTGCCTCCCCCCTTCCCTGCCTGCTGCTGGGGAGGGGCAGTGCAGTGGCTCCCTCACCCCCTCTGTCTGTAACACTCCAGGTCCTCGCAGCCAATCAGCATGCACCCTCTAGGCAGTGCATACGCAGTTGGTCCAGAGTGTTACAGATGGGCAGACAGACAGACTAAGGCACTTATTATATTTAAATATCCTCAATAACTAAATACTATTCAGTTATTTATTTACAGGAAAAAGAAAGTGTAAAAGAACAGGCAAATGTAATTGTGAAATTGCAAAGATTCTTCCTAGGGCCAGGGGCAGATGGGGGAATCAAAGAACGCATTTAGGTATTGCAACAGCTGGATTAGTGCAGTGTGTGATGTATGTGTAATAATTTGTTGATCAACTGAATACTAACAGAAATATTTTCAATCTCTACAGTAAAGTAGTACCATGCCTAGTCTATGGCATGGTAATCAAGATCTAAAATTTTGGGCAAGGCTCTAGTAGACAAAATCTGGTCTTAAGTCACACCAAAATATATTTGGAATTTCTCTGTTGAAGTGGCAAGATACAGTTGGGGTGCAGGAAGTGGTCCTGCTTTAAACAGGGGGTTGGACTACGATGACCTCCTGAGATCCCTTTGAAGCCTAACTTTCTATGATTTTAAGTCAATGAAGTAACTCTTAACATGGGGGCTGTGGTTTGAAGGGGCAGGCGTTAACTTGCAGAATTTGACCTCGGGCTTCTACAGAGACAGGAAATTCTACGTTTTATTTAAAATTTATGGGAAATGTACACTCCATCTAAAGATATAAATTAAAATAATTAATAAATGGATACAAAACCTCAGTTAATTTCTCAGCCTTCTTAATATTCTGTTTTGGATTCATTTTAAAATTGTTTTTTCCTTTTGACAACACAATTGCACCACCAATCTGTCAGTAGCTAACATTTTGGCTATCGGATAAAAAGTGGTCGACAAACTTTTGGAGCAAGCTGAAGCTTGGGAAATATTTTCAGATTGTGAGAAGCACATTAACCAGGTTCAGAGCAAAAATGTCAGTACAGTCTACCTTGCTGCTGAGCATCCAAACTTCTCTAGTTATGTTACATCTGAAACAGTTGGATGACAGAAGTAGTTCATACTTCAAACCTACAGGTTTCAGCCTTTCTGCAGTCTAAAGAACACTTTTCCCATATAAATGTTATTCCAGCAAATTGCTTCTACCATGACTTAAGTTTACACTAGTCAAACTTCCAGTCTCTCAATACAGCTAGTTTTTGTCCTCCTGAGGAAAACAAGCTGCACTGGAAGGAACACAATTTTGCTGGAATAATTTAATCTACACCCTGGATTTTTGCCAGAACAAGTATGTCAGTAAACGACTGAATATCTCCAGATGACTAACCCGCAGAGGCATGATGAGTCTACCAAAGTCTGTATTTAGTTCACTTTTTTTAATTGCATCTGTTTGAGATAGGTAGGAACAAACATTAAGAAAAAAATTAAGGTTTGTAAATTACCTAACATATAAAGCACTTCACAATAAAATCAATAGTAGAATTCATTTAAAATAGCAAGCATAGTACTAATAGTCCATTCATTTATTTACCTGTTTAATATGAGATATGGTGGCATCTCTAGGGACATCCAGGTTGATATAGATTCCAGTGGGCAGCAGGAAGTCCACAGAGATTGAGCCATCAGCTCCTATCTGTGAATCCACTGCCCAGATGTCAAGGATGTCTGTCACTGTAGGAGGCATGATGAAATCTGAACAGTATCATAACCACATGGCCCTAGGAAAAGAAATTAATTCAGATGCCTTACTATTTTATAATCAGATACACATTTTAATATCTTGTGAAATTTTACATGGGCCTTCTTGCACAGATCAGCTTACAAGGTAGGGGTCTAAGGTTCCCAAGATTTCAGACATATATAAAAAATGAATAATTTTACTCAAGCAAGTAAATCTATTAAACTCATGAAGTTCAGTGAATAAAGGTATTTCTGTGGAAGTGTTTATAGCACCAGGGCCTAAATTAAAAACGAATTATATGTACACAGTTTTCACTGACTGACAGTTTTCATTTCTGTTGGAAGTAGTGCCCAGAAATGTTTGCACAACAGAAACTTAAAACAAACAAACAAAAAGCCTAATAAGGATTATGGATCAATACACACTATTCAAGAATATAAAACACAGTATGTGTACTTCAAAGAACTTTGTAGGTCTACCGGATTCTTTACTATTATCTACATTAAAGAAAAATGTTTACATAGCTTTACAACATTTAGAAATTGAATGAATGAATCTACTCTACCAATCTACTGTTTGTAACTAGGGCTAATAAAAATATATTTGTTAAACTATTTGTTAAACAGAGAAGTCTCTACCATACTACTGGAAGTGGTTCAGATAGGATAGTTCAAAGAATATAAAATATTCCATTAAACATGTTTATTTTTTCATTTGTATACATGTAAAAAACAATATTCATAGCATCTTGTATGATACTGAACAGCAGCACAAATTAAATATTTTAACATTTCCTATTGAACTAACAAAGTATTACTAATGTGGGATTGCAGCATTACCTGGAGGCAAAAAGATTTTTACTTCTAAAATACAAGTAAACCAACTTGGAAAAATATTATTGTGAAAAATGTATATTATACATGGAGCCACGTATATAGATATATCTATATATAATTTTCACAATAATATTGTTATATAAAAAGTCAAGCACAGTGGTATACTAAGTGTATAAACTTTTATTTTAAAACTAGCAAATTGCCCGTCAAGAATGACTTGGGGGGGGGGGGGGGGGGGGGGGAGAAGAACGGGACACAGAGCAGCACCACCCGACGCTCCACGCTGGTCTAACTCTGGCCCCGTGCCCCCCTCTACCCCGTGTCTAGCTCCATGCGTTGTCCCCTTACCCCTTGCCCACTTGCTCCAGCCCCTCAGTTCCCACCATCATGGGGGTGGGTGGGTAGGGGTGAAGCCCCACATCCAGCCCCCACCCCACCCCATTGCATCGGGTTCAGGCACGTTTCCACCCCTCCTCCATCCCCCTCTGCCTCCAAGGAGCAGGGCCAGGGAAGGTTGCGAGGCCAGCACCATTGTCCTCCCCCCCTCACCAACTCTAGCCCCTCAGTCCCCACTGTCATGGCAGTGCTTCTGTCTGTCCAGAGCATTCCGATTGGTTGTTTCAGCAAGAATTGCGATTGGCTGCTGAGGCAACCAGAGTGCAAATAAAGTGTTATGGACAGACAGACAAATGCTTTTATAATATTCGAACAGTTGCTTTCAAATATTTTAAGGCAAAACAGAAGAACAAAGAATTAAGTCCTTAAAGCACACAAACACTGGGAATTTCCTAAAAATGTTAAGAAGTGGGAAAAATGATCACTGCATATGAATTGCAGTAATTTGTAAATATAGAATGTCTTCTCTTCAAATATCTTTATATGTAAACATATGTATACAGACTGTAAACTACAAAAGTGAAGTGAAATGTGGTGACTCATGATTACAGAAGGAATGATAAGTGTATCAGGTTAGTCAAAATGTAATCCTTTATTAGAGAAAACTATCTTTAATCCCATAGGGACCATAATCTCATACTCTACTTCCTTTCTTCTCTGACTTTATAATGACTGTAAATCCTAATACATCATCCATTTGCACTGGCACACATGCACATGGCAGCCAGACAGCATTGAAAGCAGCTCCCGCAGCTCCATCCAGGTAAGCCTGTGGAGGGAGGGAATTGGGCAGGGCTGGGGCTGCTGCCTAGCTGGGCAGGTGCATGGGGCCTGGCTGGGAGAACAGGATGAAGTCATGGGTGGCTCATCCAGGGGGCTGGCTCCCCATTGCTGTGTGCACTCCTGGTAAGAGAGGCATTGGGGGGCATGGGTCCCCCAGATTTGTGCATGGGGCAAGGGTGGATCCACGCTGCCTACTGCAGGCTTGGGGCTCCCTGCCCAACAGACCTTCCCCTGGGGCCTCTGTACCCCAGCAGGACAGACCTGGTATAGGAGGGCAGAGCAGGGTGGGGAGGCTCAGTACCACTGCCGGTAGCCCCACACTATCATGTCACCATGGTGAGGCACCCACTGCACACCCGGTAGTGGTGGTATGGTGGTGTTAGAGCCAGTGTGAGGCTCCTGGCAGCAGCACTGAGCTTCCCCAGCCTGCCATGCCAGGTCCTGCCTGCTGGGCTGTGGAGGCCCCTTGGGGAGGACAGCAGGGCGGGGAGCCCCCAGCCCATAGCAGGCAGCCTGCATCCTTCCCTCCTCCTCCAAGGGCTCTGCTCCAGCTCTGCCACCTGCAGTGGGGAAGAAGCAAGGAAGGTGAGCCAGGCTCCACTCTCCACTCCGGCTCCAGAAGCTGCCCCCTCCCACAGGCAGCACCTGGGGCTTGGGCACTTCTGGGAGGCCCAGGAGGCTGCAAGCCCTGGCCTAGTTCTGTTGCCCTGGCAACTGGGCCCCCTGCAGCAGGGCTAGGGGGGCAGAGGGCTGCGAGTGAGGAGCACCAGCAGGGCTGAGGGGGGTTGGGAGGCTGTGGTTCAGGAGTGAGGGGCACTGGCAGGGCTAGGGAGCTGTGGGTTGGGAGTGGCTTTTTCTATGCATGTTGTTTGTGGTTTTAGGCTATAGCTAGAATGAGTTATAATTTGCAATGACAAACTATGTATAAATATTTATTTTCTCTGGCACACCACTGCTGAATATGGTATGGAACTCATAGGTGATGCACAAGCACCCCCTGAGAGTGCTGTTGCTCCCCTAAGAGCAAGTGCTCTCAGCTTAGATGATGGGCGGGGGGGCAGGCGGAGAGCTGGTGTCTTCCCCCCCACCCCAAGTAATGCCACTGGCACTTCTGGACTGGGCGCCTGGCCACGGGAGGAACCCATGGGTCTGACACCACTGCCTGCAGACCGTCCCTGCTTGGCTCACGTTTGCGGAGAACACTTGTGGGCGGTCGCTGTGCCACCCCAAGCCTCAGGAGGCATGCATCACCTATTATGGCACTTATTGTTTTTCTTGCTAAAAAAAAGTTATTGAGTATTGAGTGGACTTCAGCAAGGCCTTTGACACCGTCTCTCACCCCATCCTAATTAATAAACTAGGCGACTGTGGCACAGATGCCTACACGGTCAGATGGACTGCAGATTGGCTGAAGGGTCGCACTCAGAGGGTGGTGGTGGATGGATCATACTCGACTTGGGGGGAGGTGGGTAGTGGAGTCCCCCAGGGCTCGGTCCTGGGGCCTGTGCTGTTCAATTTCTTCATCAGCGATCTTGATGTTGGGGTGGAAAGCAACCTGTTTAAATTCGCTGATGACACCAAAATTTGGGGGGAGGTGAGCACGCTAGCAGGGAGAGAGAGATTGCAGAAGGATCTGGAGAGGTTACAGGGGTGGGCAAACAGGAACAGGATGCGTTTCAATACAGACAAGTGCAGGGTGCTGCACTTGGGTAGTAGGAACCAGCAGCACACTTATACGATGGGGAACTCCCTACTTGAGAGCACGGAGGCGGAAAGGGATCTTGGTGTCATTATTGACTCCAAGATGAACATGGGCCGACAATGCGAGGTCATGGTTGGCAGGGCTAACCGGACCTTGTCGTGCATCCACAGGTGCATCTCGAGTAGAGCCAGGGAGGGGCTCCTCCCACCTATTGAACCTATTTATACTGATATAAATGACTTGAACCTATTCAGCCTCCACAAGAGAAGGCTGAGGGGGGACCTGGTGACCGTCTATAAACTCACTAGGGGGAACCAGAAGGGTTTGGGGGAGACGCTGTTTCCCCTAGCCCCCGCTGGCATAACAAGGAGTAATGGGCACAAGTTGATGGAGAGGAGGTACAGATTGGACATCCGAAAAAACTACTTCACAGTTAGGGCAGCTAGGAGCTGGAACCAACTTCCAAGGGAGGTGGTGCTGGCCCCTACCCTGGGGATCTTTAAGAAGAGGCTGGATACTTACCTGGCTGGACTCATTTGAGTCCCGTTTTTGTTTTTAGGGTTTGTTTTTTTGGGGGGTTGTTCTCCTGCCCTGGCGGGGGGTCGGGCTAGAAGATCTATTAGGTCCCTTCCGACCCTAAAACTATGAGTATTATGCATTAATTTTATTTTGGTTTGATTTGTATTACTTTGTTTTTAGTGGGAGTTTAGAGAGACAGTTATATTGAGCAAGCACAGAAACATTAACAGTGAACAGTAATGGCAGTCTAGTTTCCTATATAATTTTTGTTATATTATATACTTCTAAGTCTCAATTTAGCAACCATGACATCTAGGGTTGTTTAATGGTATGGCAGCACAGTAAATATAATCCACAGTTGAAGCAATTGAAATAAAATGTCAAATAAATCCTTTAATAGCTTTTTTAAACTTGGTATTCAATTTTTTTTTAATCTAAAAAGTTAAAATGATTTTAAAAGTTTTAAATGAAAAAGATAAAAGATCATAAATATTGTAATGCCATATTTATGACTTGTTGATCTTGTCTCCATTTTGGGGTTGCAAAATATTTCCAATGTTTGAATGGGGTCATGCTGAGGAAAAGGTTGGGAAGCACTGGTCTAAAGGGTGGGCAAGACAGTATCAAAGCAAAGCACTCCTCTGACAAAGGCAAAATAAGCTGCCTTTGTAGCACTCCAAACTTTACTAACCAACAGGATATGAAGAGAAAAGCAAATAGCCTGTCTTGTTTAAAACAGAATCTGTGACTACCTAGTACAGGTTCCTATT